GTGATTTAGGAGGAGCCAGTGCGATGGGAGGAATTTGCATAGTAAAGTTTGCAGTCCCTTTCCCTTCACTGTTAAAAAATGGTGAATAAATGAGGTAAACAAGTACATGTATCTGTCTGCTGTACAGGAGAAGCAAAAGAGTATGTGCACAACTAACACTATAGGTAACTAGATGAGATGACTATACGTGTTTGAGTATGTTTGTATCTGTATGTGATGATGAACAGAGGTATTCGTCCTGCTGAGGTATTGTCAAAAAAGTTTTATTACTAATCAGTGCTTCACAAAAATCCTGTGATAATGTGTCTTTTATGTGCGTTTGTGTGTGTGTTTAAAAAAAAGGCACCAGCAATGGCTATAAGCGGTGTGGTATGTTACCATTTACATAATCAGCTGTCATAATCGTATGATGTTTCATGCATGTGTATGAGCGAGTGTATGTGTGTGCGTGTGTGTGTGTGTGTGCATGGCTCCAGTCCTCACACCGCCACTTTTTCAAGTGACCGTATGGGCGGAGTTATTGCTTTCAGGCCATTGCCAGGGCAGCTGTTACCACGGCTAAGGGCGTGTCCAGTTGGCATTGCAGCGTGGGAGTGTTCTGGCAGGCGTGGCAGGAAGACAGGACAGGAGCGTGTGCGGGCGTGGCCTTTGTGACCTCCTGCGTGACAGATGAGGTGGCTCACCGTGTCCAGCGGGGAAAGCGTGCGTGCGTGTGTGCGTCTGCTCCTCGCGCCGCTTCAGTGAATACCAGGTGAGAAAGATGAACAGGAAGCCCAGGAACTTCAAGCTCGCCGCCAGCCCAAAGTAAACAAAGCGGAGGGAAGTGACATCGTACTCCCAGCAGGACCCATGGAAACCACAATCCAGCTGCCACAGCATACAGGTGGTGTCAATCACAGCTCCAAAACAGATAGGAGTGGGGATGTAGGCTGGAGAGACAGAAAGAGAGCATATATCAAAAATTGTTTAAATATTCATAATTTTAGCAACTAATTGATTAAAAGGGCTGGGAGAAAAAATATTAGATTATTTTTAGATATCTTTCGTTTTTTATGTATACTACCATTCAAAGGTTTGGGCTCAGTAAGTTTTGTTTTTAAAGAAATCTTTTTTTTAATGAAATAATTTTTTTTTTTTTTATTGAGCAAGGACATGTTAAATTGATCAAGTGTTAGTAAGTACATTTATAATGTTACAAAAGGTTTTCATTTCAAAGGGATGCTGTTCTTTTTAACTTTCCATACATCAAAAAATCCTGGAAAAAAATGTATTATGGTTTCCACAAAAATCTTAAGCAGAACATCAGTTTTCAACATTGTTGAAACATAATAACATTGTCAACATAATAATAATAATAATGTTTCTTGAGCACCAGATCGGCATATTAGAATATTAGTTATTTTAAAATGTAATAATATTTCAAAATATTACAGTTTTTCTGTATTTTTGTATCATCAACCTTTTAATATATGAAAAATGCCACAGTGAGATTTCACTGAACACTTTTGAATGAAGGCGCATATGAATCATTAAATCAGAGTTTTGAATCACTGAATGAAGCAGCTTATATTTTATGATGCTATTATAACATCTTGGTTTTAATACTCTTCCAAGTCATGAGCCAAGAAATGATAGTCTTCTGAGATGGTCTTCGGGAAATGTAATGGCCAAATAAAAAGAGCATTAAAATCCAGCTTAATCCTATATTGCCAGCAAATCAATCCTGAACATATGATGGATATTCAATATTTGCTCAGCTTTATTGGACAGTCAAAAAAATTATGAATTCAATAAAATCCGTCCAATCCTATCAAGAGTCCTGAGAAGAACAAACTGCATTCCCAGAGCAAACGGCCTGTCCTCTTCCTCCACTGACCTGCTCAGGAAATAAAAGAGGAATGAGTAAAACAAAGAGATACAGAGAGAAGATAGCTGAGTACATGGAGAGAAGCAGACATGAGCGTAACGATGATGACGGACGGCTGAGCGCAGGCGGTTATGAGAATGACGATGAAGAGAAAGATGAGGAAGGTGATGAGCGTTCCACATGTGCGCTCACACTTTCCTGCCAGTGCATAACCGTTCTCGTTTAGGTACGTCTTCACAATCACCACCTGCAGATCATGGTTTCCTCCCGACGGCGTGATCACCTGTCTGCTCTGAACGCATGCACAGTCCGAATAGTTTCTGATCTGAGAGGGAGAAAACACATGTTACGATACATATGAAAAATGTCAACAATACTGACAGAGACAATTTTTTTCAGGTGGTTAAATTTTTAGGCTACCATGAAAAATGTTGGTATCTTAAGCCAGTGACTCTCAAAGTGGGGTGTGGGGTCCACGACTCATAGCCAGGGGGTCCAGAAATTATTTTAGGACCCTATGATTATCGCGAATGTGGAAAATGTGTGACTGAAATACAAAATTCAGTCAAAAAACGTAATAGTTGTATGAATTCAACTGATTAGACATTTGATTTTTGATTATTAAAATTGAATGAAACCTTTATTGAATCCAGAAAAATTAAAATGGAAAACACTAAATTTGGGAACAATAAAATTGAATTTGAGAAAAAATAAAATAACTTTCATATGGCCCTAAAAATGACATTTTTGTTAAACTCTTAATAAATTGTTGTTAAATTCTAGAAGTTGGATGATTTCAATAAGACATGCTTTCTGATTACTAGTTTAATTTAACCATTAACACAAAGTCCAGAAAGATGAAAATTGACAAAAAAACTAAAAACTAAATCCAAAATCTAAGAGTTACAAATTGTAGCAAGCATATGCTTAATCACTGTAAACAGCTTTTATTTTAAAGTAAGAAAACGTGCAATCAGTTGGGCATTACAGCAAAATAAACCCCAACATGGTTTTGTCAAGCCCTGGATTCGCTGTTGATCTACATTTCAACTGACCACAGACCTCGTTTTAAAAACTCTTGATTAAAAATGACTCACTCCTGAGGTTTGGTTGGCGATGTTGCTGCAACCAGCCAGACATGGGTTAAAGTAGGTGATGCCATCAGAGCCACAGACAGGCGCATACTCATGAATCCTGCAGCCACAGTTGACGTTACAGCTTCCCGTCAGGTTTCGGTGAGACAGAGTCAGCGTCGGCCTGCAAAAAACAGATGGAACATCATTCAGTGCGGCTCATGTTTCCAGGTGATATTTATGTACGGGTCTACAGGGTTTTACTCCATTACCCGGTGGTGTAAGGGATATTGATTCCACCGAGGTTGATGCTCTCGCAGCCGACAATGAAGAGAGTGGAAAAGCAGAGCAAAGACACGCCACTGCAGATCATGGCCAGCTTTGCTGCTTCTCTTGCACCAAGCTTCAGTTTCTTAATGATGTACCCACCTAAAACTATACCGACACCTGCACTGGGTACGATGATCAGACCTGTACACACAAATTCACAATTAATAAACACCCAGTGAGTACTGTGATCAGATGGACACATGTTTGTGTCAGTGTGAGTGTGTGTTGTACCTGTGTATATACTGGCATTAGATGCTGGAACACCAAATTGAGATTCAATAAATTTGGGAATGAAAGTGATGAAGGCTGTGACGATGGCACATTCCGCCGTATACGACAAACTCACAAATAAAAACGTCACGTTACTCAATATACGCACTGCTGCTTTTGGCAGATCTGGAGAGAGACAGAAACAGACAGAGAGAGAAACAAGACAGATTTATAATTTGATTTCAAATGTGTCATCCAAAATGTGTTCATACTAAAAATCAGTGTTGTTATTGTTAACTAAAACTAGTAAAAAACTATATTCGTTAACTGAAATAAGTAATCTGGAGTACTGAAATTAATAAAACTGAAATAAAAATAAAGTTAATATGTGACCCTGGACCACAAAACCAGTCTTAAGTCGCTGGGATATATTTGTAGCAATAGCCAAAAATACATTGTATGGGTCAAAATTATTGATTTTTCTTTTATGCCAAAAATCATTAGGATATTAAACAAAGATCATGTTCCATGAAGATATTTTGTAAATTTCCTACCATAAATATATCAAAACTTAATTTTTGATTAGTAACATGCATTGCTA